TGTGTGTGTGTGTGTGTGTGTGTGTGTGTGTGTGTGTATTTTTTTTTTTCCCCACATATAAAAAAATCAGACAGAAAATGTATCATTACTTCGAGCGCCGCAGCTACCCGGACATTTTATGTTGACGAACCGGAAGCTCAATGAGGAAATGGGTGCGCCGCTGTTTTGGTTCCTACCTGGTATSCACCATGAAGGAAGCGAACATGTCGCTGCCGGTGAGTGTCGGAGCTCTGCTCCAGGCGGAGCCCCGGGAGGACGCTGCTCACCGGGACGACGGTCTCTGTGTTGTCGGTATTTTCGGTAAAAGCAACACGCAGCCGGAACCGATGAAGGAGTCCCTCATCAACGCCTTGGCGGACAAACACGTCTTCTCGCTGTTCGGTGGTGCGGAGGACGACACGGCGGACAGCCACATCCAGGCCTTCTACAACCAGGAGGACCGGGTTCTGTACCTGCTGCTGTCCTCCGTGTCCGACAGCCGGCAGCTGCTGCGGGCTTGTCGGTCTCTGAGCGCCGGGCTCAGCCACTCCGATGCCCACGACATTTGGAAGGGCCTGGACCGGCAGCACTGCCTGCACCTGCTCTACATGTTCTCCGTGTGCCACGTCCTGCTGCTGGTTCACCCCAGCCAGACCTTCGATGTGACCTACGACCGTGTGTTCAGGGCCCTGGACGCCCTGCGGCAGAAGGTGCTGCCTCTGATCCGGGCTGCCATCAAGGACTGCCCCGTGTCCAAAGAGTGGAAGCTGAACTGCAGACCCTGTCCTCCGCGGCTGCTCTTTGTCTTCCAGATGACCGCGTCTCTGAAGGTCTGCTTTTTATCAGACCCTAACATGCTCTTTAATTTATTTACCTCTTTAAAACTAAACGTTTGGCAGGTGGGGAGRCAGATGTTAACTGTGTATCTTATGGCAGGGTGATTATACATGATGAAGGTACCTCTGATTATATTTGACTAATCTGTGGAGACTCTTAGTCAAAATATCTTAAAAAGAAATTTGACTAGTTAAAAATACAGTTAGTGTTGATTAGTCATTATTTTTTATTTTATTTATTTCATTTAAACAACAAAAACAAACATTAAAAATTAACAAAAGCACCATATCATTAAATGAAAAGGAACAGAGAGAAGAAAAGAATCTTATATCTGCCCCCAATTTAAACAATGACCATATATATATATAT